CGACTCAACCAATTAAATAGCCAAACTGAAGAGAAAATCAAAGATGACTTACTATTCAGTTCAACAAATCTCGCTGTTACTGTAAGAGCAAATAGAGTGATTTTCTTAATTTCTGCTACATTACAGGTCCATATTTTAAAATGACTTCTGTACTCACCTAAATTCAAGCCAAATGTCTGATTCACAACTGACTGGAAGTCGCCAATGTTGGTCGACTGATCTGCATTTGGCTTCCACATACATTTAGGTTTCTCTTCTCGCACGGAAGCCATCGAGTTCGAATCTCCGCTTGTATCAGAAGACATAAATTACAAAAATACGCGTTTCTAGGAACTACCAAGCTGTTCTTATAGATAAGGATAGCTCTGTCTTCCCGAAACTTTGCCTGTCTTGTGCTGTCTAGGCAACGTTATGGTCTTTCAACAAATATTTCAAAACTTGTTTGCAAAATTTCGTAACTTGGCGCGCCACGTCACTTAATTAATGCCAGCGCCCTATGGGATTTGTCAGAAAATTTCTCTAAATGTAATTCATTAACAATTAAATGGGCTTCTTCAACCGGTAAGAGAAATCACTCTGGACACATAATTCTCTCTCGTGTAAAACATTGCTGGAAAAATTGTAAGAATAGCTTTTTTTTTCACTGAGAATTGCCCTAACGCCGCATCATCCGATGTCAACCCGCCGTTGTTACACTATCTGCTTGGGGGAGGGTAGGTAAATTTAGATTTTGAGACGTTAGAAATTGATGTCATTTATTTGCAGCAAACTGCAATCGACTTGATCCTCTTGTAAGTAAAAACTCCTGAGAATAACGGAATGTTTACATATTAGTAATGTTTTAGAACAAAACTGAAATAAAAGAACCCCAAACTTACCCTACTCTAGTTGGTAGAAGTTGCTGTTTCTTTATCCAGACTTCCACGGATGAAACTTCGGTCATTGAAGGTCATCAGAGCTAGTTAACATGGCGGCTGAGTTTACAAGTCTGGAGAGTTGCTTGGAAAAACATCTTCCACCGAAGGAGCTAGAAGAGGTGAAGAGAATTTTATATGGAAAGCCAGTCAGGTAAGTTTTATATTTCAGTCGAGATCACTTTACCAGTGAAGCTTTTTTAGTGTCTTTGTCTGGAAGTAGTCGCGTGGAAGTCGAACGCACTCTAAAAGACTGTAGGACAGCGGTCAATCCATTGGTCAGCTTGGCTGATCGAGACGATTGCGCCCGACAGAAGACTTTCAGCAATACTTTGGAACAATTTTCCTGGACAATTGGTGATTTCAATACTTTTACGTGCAATCACCCCCTGCGCCCCCCGGTCCCACGGTGCGTACACCTCGCGACGTTCCAAAACATAAATGTTACAAGCCAAGAATATTTGGACTCATTACTTGAAGCTGACAGGATTAGGACGCTGATGACAATTTTCCAAGGGTGAAGACAATGAAAGGTTCCATTTTCTGAGGGCCTTGACAAAAATCAGGAGTTCTGATTTCTGCGTGTCTTGAGGAAGTGGGATTGAGGATAAAGTGACCCCTATCAATCCTGTGGAGTTGTCTCTTTCCAAACCGTTTAACTCCCAAGATCTTATTGTCAGTTATTCCCTCTAGCTGCTACATATTTCCATATAAATTAGT